GACGCGCAGTTGCGGCTTCGCCTAACTCCTGCGAAAAGTGAACTAGGGCTACTCCTTGAAGAACCAAAGGGTCAAAAGAAGCTAGTCCTGAGAGTTGCAACTCTTAAAGTTGGAAGCATAACTAGTAAAGGTATTGAAGAGGGAGGAATTAAGGTTAACAGGTCGAAAACGGAGTATATGTGCTTGAGAGGAAGAGGAATGGTTGGAGATGTAGAATTGCTTGGAGAAAAGTTAGGATAATTTAAATACCTTGGCTCCTACATAAAGGAAAATGGGACACTATATTGAGAAATTGCTAACACGATACAGGCTGGTTGATTTAACTGAAAGCGAATGGGCGGGGTACTTTGTGATCGAAAAATCGGGAAAGGGCTAAAAGGAAAGATGTACAAGAGTGTTGTAAGACCTGCGATACTATACGGCGGTGAAGAGTGGCATGTAAAGAAAATTCAGGAGAAGAAGATTGAGGTACCTGAAATGAAAATGTTAAGGTGGACGTTGGGTAAGATTAAAAGGGACAGGGTCAAAAACGACTTGATTAGAGAAAGAGCCAGGGTGACTACAGTCTCAAAAAAGATTCAAAAACAAAGACTGTAATGGTTTGGTCAAGTCAAAAGTAGAGATGAAAACTATCTGGGACGAAGGATAGAGCTATTAAAAGTTAATGGAAGAAGAGGTAGATAAAAACCGAGGAGAAGATGAAAAGACTGTGTGACAGAAAATTTGAGAGAGAAAGGGTTAGGTGAAGAAGACCTTAGGAACAGAAATAAGTGGCGACGAAGAGTAAGAACAGCGACCTCTGAAGAGGGAAAAGCTGAGAAAGAAGAAAAAGAAGAGAAGATTTGCTTTATCCATCACAAAGCATTAAATGATAAAGAATCATACGAGTACATTTGGAAACATCTGTAAGGTAACAATATATGAAGACTTTCAGCAACAGGATAATCGCATTGAAAACAAAATAATTACCAAGCTATTGTACCACGCTCAAGCAACAGTTTAACTAAAATTAAAAGTAGCAAAAGAATGAGTTAATTATAAACATTTGTCAGTAAGGCAAGGTTATATCTTATCGCAAACTGTATTTAACCTATATTCACAAACAAAACATATCTAGAAAAGACAATTAGCTCTTTTAAACTTAACCCGTTTTTATTCACGTAAAAATGAATAAGTAATTAATATTATAAACGTTGTACAACTTTTTAAAATTATGTAAAAGTAAATATCGCCGACAATAAAAAAATAAATTAATAATTTATAAAAAATGCTTAATGCCAACTTCCAAATAACACAATAATATTTTTATTTTAAACAATACAAATATATGAGTACTTTTGTAAACAAAAATTAAAAAAACATATCTCTGGCTTTTCAACATCTAACTCTATTGTCCTTTTTTGGCACTGGCATTTTTTTCTGCACTCATAGTAAGCCCATTTTATGCATAGAATATGACTTAAGAGCATCTTTTTTTCTTTAGAGCATCTTTTAATGATTAGATTTGGAGTAAAAAATATATTTTTTAAAGAACTAGAATTACCCTAATAGAAACTTTAGCTAATATTACATTCACTGTTGTGTGATGCTATTTAAACCAAGTTGATGTACAAATAGTATCAATATTTGCCCCTCGAACTAATTTTCGACTTGTATTTACATAATTTGACGTGTTAAAAATTCATTGAAGTCTTCTTATACATTCTATATATTAAATATTAAGGAATTAAAGTTTATTGAAAAAATTTATCTTTTCATGGCGCTAAACGCTTTCTGCCCTTTTCGTTTACATTTTCTATTGTTTATAGCTTTCAGATCTCCCATACATCTCTTCCGGGTCTTCCCACGGTCCTTCTTATTTGGAGTTTCTGTCTTTGTATTATTCGCACAGTCCTAAGATCAAACATTCTTCATAAATTGCCAAGCCAGTTTAGCCTTTCCTATATCTACGTTCTGTTTTAGTTCGTCAATCTCATTGTTTATCTTCATTCTCCACCAATTATAATTAAAATGGGTTCTCGTATATACTTTTCATTTATAATTGATCTCTCGTAAGGGCAACTTATACAAGGGAAAATCCATGACAAGAAAAGTGTAGGAAGGAGAAGAATCTAATGGTTGCGTAACTTGAGGGAATGCTACGGATGTACATAAATCGAACTATTCAGAACGGCAGCAACTAAGATCAGAATTGACATGATGATTGCCAACCGTCGCGGAGATGGCACGTAAAGAAGAATTGGAACTGGATTTATTTATTTATATTATTGACATGAAAACATTTAGATGTTTCCCCTTGTCCAACTTAATCATTTTCAATATTAAATGCCCATGTTATCTCTCTGATATCTGTGTTTACAGTTCTGAAACCAAACTGCGATGCATAAGTTAGGGATATAGCTCAAAATTAAATAAATAATGATACAACAATTATACAAGTGTATAAATACAAATAAGTCACTTATCTGCATAAACAATTAACACTAGTTTTTTGTTTTTTTTTTATTCAAAGAAATAAATTAAACTAAATCAAATTTATGTTGTTTTTAGTTTATTACCCCATGAAACAAAGCCGAAAAATCACTTGAAAAAGATAAAAATTTCTGGGCACTATTTTTTAAAGGGCAAAATATTTGCCCTTTAAAATAAGATTTTCTAAATTAAAAAATTCTTATAAACAAAAAAGTTATTGCACATTAAACCTGAAAGTAAGCATGTTTGTTAATGGTTTATAATTATTAAAATAAATAATAATAACATAACCCCCTCTGTGGCTCAGTGGTAAGAGCGCCTACCTTTAAACCTAAAAGTCGTGAGTTGGAATCTCATCAGGGTGGAGAAATTTTCGTTTATTAAAAATTAATGAATGAAAATAATTTCTATCCTTGTGCGATCGGTACTCACCAGAGGGACCGCAGACGTTCGGATACAATAAGCGTCTCTTAGCAAAGACAATGACGTCGACTGTGCTAAGTATCAAGACAATTACTCTACAGACACACACACACACGCACACGCACACGCACACGCACACACACACACACAAATACACACACAAACACACACACAAACACACACACAAACACAAACACAAACACAAACACAAACACAAACACAAACAAACACAAACACAAACACACACACACACACACACACACACACACACACACACACACACACACACACACACACACACACACACACACACACACACACTTGGGCAGCATTTGGCAAATTAAGCCATATTCTAAAAAGTTCAATTCCCATGTGTCTCAAGCGAAAGGTTTATAACCAATATGTTTTACCTGTACAAACTTATGGAGCAGAGACTTTAACACTCACGCAAAAATCTGCGAATAAACTCAGAGTTACACAACGAGCCATGGAATGTGTAATAATAGTGAACAGTGTAGAGAACACTGGAAAGAACTGAGGGAGGCCTATGTCCAGCAGTGGACGCGATTGGCTGATTAATGATGATGACTTATATTCCACCCTTCCATCCGTCTAGTACCTTTCGCATAATGTGTTCGCTGTAGACATTAAATAGAGTTGGCAAGATTATGCATCCCTGCCTGACATCTGCCTCTGTTCTGAAATGATCGGAATGGGTGTTGTTATTTTTACTGTGCACTTATTATTTTCATATAGGTAGATTTCTAATTAGTTGAATTAAGTAGTGGTGGGGTGTTCCCATTTTCGCTAGTATAGACCATAGCTGCTGCCATTTGACTTTATCGAAGGCCTTTGTGTAATCCACAAAGCACATAAACATAGGAGTATTGAATTCACGAGTTTTTTCGATTAGCTATCTGATATTAAGAAATAATATTATCTTACCGAAAAATCAACAATTATATTTACAAATACAGATAACTGTTTATAAACATTTGCAAGAACCATAACTTTTAGACGACATGTTGCGAAAAATTCTTAACCTTAACGAAAGGGGGTTAAAATCAGGGGTTGCGAATCAGATTTCTTGCCCCTGTGTCATCTGATATGTGCGGCACTGCAAAAAAGTAAGCTAAATAACGATCCGAAATCAGGTATATAAATGCCATATCGTATCAAATTACCAAAAATGGGGTCAAAATTTTCCGAAAATCAAAGATTGTCCCTGCTACTAGTACCAACACTGATTTGTACGACATTAAGTCGCAGGTAATTATTTTTGTATTACCTACCTAAGTATAAATGCCGTACAAAAAAGTTTGATCAAAATACTCCTTCTCTTGAGTGGTAAGTGTACCATACCTGTGTAGCCACTTGTACTAATAAAAATTGACGGCATAGTTTTAAAGTTTTTTTTAAGGTTTTGGATTCTAAAAATGTTGTTACATATTGTAGTATTGATTTATATATGATTCATGCTGGGTCAAATGACCCCTTAAAAATGTCTCATGGGCTTGCAGCCTATAGTTAGTTTAACCTATCAAGTTTACTATACTCCATGAGTCTATGGGAATTAAAAATCTGTGTTTATTGATATATATTGAATTATTGATCTTAAATTTCCATTCATTAAATTCCAATTCCATTAAGATTTCGATATTTGTTTTTAATTGAACGTTTAATGAAGGTACATACAAGACTATAGGTATTAAAAATAACTATAATCAACCAAATTTCGCCATTAAGGCACATGAAAAAAAAATGTAATTCAAACTTAAAAGATGGTAAATGTAGTAAAAGAAAATAAGAAACTATAAACGAAAAAATGAAAGCCGGAAAATATTTACGATATGAGTAGGTACTATAAGAATGGAGTGTTCTAAATATAACATACAGAGATAAATATGCCAATATTTAAATGACTACAGTAAATATCAAACCAAATTAAGTTTGTAATATTCACATAACCGTGTAAAATTTGCGAGGACACATTTTTTTGTAATAAAATATATGTAGACTAAGTATACATTATAGGTTTATATCGCTAATAAACTATAGGTATTGGGAACCAAAATTGATGATCAATCCACACACAATTTACTTACCGGTCAGGGATGAACTTTGATCTCTTTTCATGTATCCAATAAACGGAAAATGTGTAACTGAAAATGTCCGTATCATCACAACATTCACGACACAATAAAAAGTTTACAAACATTTATTGTATCGAAAGTAACTTTATATACTACACTGAAAGGCGATAAGGCAAATAACACTGGGAAGTAACCTAACATTGATAATAGATCCGAAAAATATATACTGTTTAACTACGAAAATAGGTACCCAAATAGCGAATCGGAAAATTTACCATAGGCGTCGAGCGTCACAGAACAGTTGCCGGGAAAAAATATAATCGAAGTTCATGTAAATAAATATTTTTAAGGAGTATTATTATATATTTTTTATACCTTTTTTTGAAGATTTTATTCCTTTTATTGCCATCTTTCTAATGAACCATATACATCTACATTAAAGCTTAATTTAAAGAAAAACTGAAACGTTACCCAAAGTCTCTTATATCCCTTTAACACGCAGCCATTGCTGCTGCTACTCGCGTTGCCCACTGTCCTGCCCGAAATAATTTAAAAAGGCAGCCTTTAAGGCAAATAGCTGTTTACATACACCACTCTTTCTATACACATACAGTAATGGCAGTTCGAGCGACGTATTTACATACTCAAGCTACCAACTTCTCTGCTCAATTGCCTGCTCGGTGCCGCGGAAGTGAGCTGCATCTAAAAGAGGTATTACGCCAAGAACAACAGGGAAAAAAATCACATTCCAATAAGGTTTGAATTCGAAATTCCATTAAATTTCCGTGTCATACAGAAATATTGAGAAGACTAATGTTTTTGGCCTTAGCAATTGGCCTTTTTTACAAGTCCCACTGTTATTAGTCATCGAACCTAAGTAGCTGAACCTGCCTACCATCTCATATTCGTGTAAGCTGTTAGTAGTATAATGCGAAATATGCCTACTACCAGTATCTTTGTCTTGTTTTCATTACTTTTTAGCCAGAATTTCTTTCTTTCGAACTTCTCAATTGCGTTTCTTGCTCTATTGCTACTATTAGTATAATGTCGTCAGCGAATCCTAAGTTACATATTGTTATTCCAGCCACTCTACCAGAGGACTTTCCCACGACAAATTCACCATATATATATATATATATATATATATATATATATATATATATATATATATATATATAATATATATGTTCGGAAAGATTTCCCGGTTAGTACAATAAAACCTAGAGCTAAGATTAATATTATTACTAAAATTAATATCAAACTCACCAGTCTTCCGGGTTGAACCGCGTCGTTGTCCATTTTGCCAAGCTTTCGGCATCCTCTCTGATGCCTTCCTCAGGGCTTCCGAGGTCTCAGTCTCCCGAGCCCCCAGACACTACGTAGTAGTGTTCGTGCCGTGAATAGTGAACAGTGTAGTAGTGTCTGGGGGCTCGGGAGACTGAGACCTCGGAAGCCCTGAGGAAGGCATCAGAGAGGATGCCGAAAGCTTGGCAAAATGGACAACGACGCGGTTCAACCGGAAGACTGGTGAGTTTGATATTAATTTTAGTAATAATATTAATCTTAGCTCTAGGTTTTATATATATATATATATATATATATATATATATATATATATATATATATATATATATATATGTATATATATATATATATATATGTATATATATATATATATATGTATATATATATATATATGTATATATATATATATATATATATATATACATATATATATATATATATATATACATATATATATATACATATATATATATATATATATATATATATATATATATATATTATTGTGGTATTTAAAGTCTTAGTGCGCCAAGCAATTAATTAGCTAATTAATTAATTAATTAATTAAAATTATTTAAATGATATGACTATGATTCTATCACACTTTATAATTCTCTTATCTCAGGGTTCTACTCGTGCTTCAATATCTATGCTATTACATGTGAAAGGTAAGGTCCAAAGAATACCGGAATAATAAAAAACATATAGGATCTAACATTATATATTGAAATAAAATAATGAAATAAAATTCACACTCAAAAATTTTCAATAAACAAAATCTCATATAATGATTCTCAAAATTTTGTTCTACGTACGTGAACCTTGAAAATTTATGGTACAAACAATATTAGTTGAAATCTCAAAATCCCAAATATTATTCTAAATCTCCTAATCAAAATATTTATATCCTTTCTAAATTAAGTGTAATTGTGTTATCAATAAATTAAAAACTGCAGAAAACAAAACTATCTCTCTCTGATGATGAGTGGTCCAAATCCTTGTTCCTTGTAGACTATATTATCTCTTCTCAGCCGCTCCCTAGGTAATCAGGAATCTTACAACAAATTATTGCAAGTTTATCGTCCTTAATGATCTTCAAATGCACGAATCGTTCAAATTATGCTAGCTTCTTCTTCTCTCAATAAACTGAATCTCTCGTTGGCCTGAGTGAAAAATGACTCTTGGAATATCTTTTCTTTACGATAAACTGAATCTCTCGTTGGCCTGAACAGTGACTCTTGGAATATAAGTAGAAAATATAACTTACAATCTTTTACTGGATCAGCTTATATCAGATACACTAACTACACGAAAACTCACAAACTTTCACTGCTACTGCTTCCTACCTCTGGGAAACTACCCGAGAACAACGGCCGTTCGCCTTCTACCCTTGGAAACCAACTGACTATCAATTTTTCTTCCAAAACTAACTAACGTCTCATTCTCAAACCAAACCTCCCACCTTTTCCAATCTCATCCAATCAAAACGCGTCATACATCTCCCATTTCTTAATTTCGATAACACCCAAATTTTTACCTACAATTATAAAATTTCCTAAAACTTATTTACAAAATATTTTCCTACCAATTCTAAAGAAACTAACAAAAACATATCTTTCTAAAATCTATTCTATTGTCCTAATTACTGCACAACATTTATTTGGAAAACCCGCTTCTAATGTCTAGGGTTTTACTTAAGCTTATAGGGGTCACTCAAATATATTTTAACAAAGAAAATAATTTATGCATATCTTACGTTTTGTTAAATACAGGTAATCCAAAATTAAAAGACTTTCATTCTTCGAAATGTTTGTTGTTCATTATTTGACTTATCTGAATTATTTTAATGTTTTTGAACTTTGAAATATTTTAAGCAAACCAATACTTTTCTCGATTTTACATATCATAACAATATATATATATATATATATATATATATATATATATATATATATATATATATAAAAACTAGAGCCAAGATTAATATTATTACTAAAATTAATATCAAACTCACCAGTCTTCCGGTTGAACCGCGTCGTTGTCCATTTTGCCAAGCTTTCGGCATCCTCTCTGATGCCTTCCTCAGGGCTTCCGAGGTCTCAGTCTCCCGAGCCCCCAGACACTACTACACTGATCACTATTCACGGCACTGACACTGTCACTACTGTGTGACCACAAAATGGACAACGACGCGGTTCAACCCGGAAGACTGGTGAGTTTGATATTAATTTTAGTAATAATATTAATCTTAGCTCTAGTTTTTATTGTACTAACCGCGGAAATCTTTCCGAACATTTTATTCGCCTCTACGGGGAGGAATTTTACCAGCTCACTAAATCATACAGCAACCTACTACTACGTAAGAATCGTCTTCTTTGTGATTTAACTTTCCTTAAAGCCTGCCGAGACCATAAAGTCATTCCCAAATTTCTAAAACTCAAACACCACACTTCTTCTTCTTCTATCTCCCAAATTCTTAGGAAGGCCAGTTTTTCGCTTCTCCGTGAAGCTATTCATTCCACTAGACGAAAACTAGATGTCACAAATAGCAATCTTTTCAATATCTGGTCATCTATTCATTCTTTCAATGTACATCCTATATTATGGGATAGTTTCGACCGTATCAATACACAATCAGCCCTAAACACTTTCGAATCTAAAAGTGAAACTCAGAAACGCAAATTATTGAATCTCATTTCCGAACAAATTCCAAAACCCTCAACATTGGAACCCACTACAGTGGTCCACAACTTTTCTGATACCCCTATTTCAACCATTGCCACTCAAGCTTTAGCAAAAGGTTTCAATTACTCTGTTACCCCAAGTCACATTCCAATTGAGACAATCATCTGTCAAACTGAAGAAGCCATCTCCAGTTTATCTTCCGAAGATGCTGAAATAACCAGGCAAGACATCTCTAGAGTTCTTAGAAACTCAAAGCCGCCTATTCAAAATATTAGCCAATCCGAGAAAAAAGCCCTGAAAGAACTTCAGTCAAATCCAGTAGTGACAGTGTCAGTGCCGTGAATAGTGATCAGTGTAGTAGTGTCTGGGGGCTCGGGAGACTGAGACCTCGGAAGCCCTGAGGAAGGCATCAGAGAGGATGCCGAAAGCTTGGCAAAATGGACAACGACGCGGTTCAACCCGGAAGACTGGTGAGTTTGATATTAATTTTAGTAATAATATTAATCTTAGCTCTAGTTTTTATTGTACTAACCGCGGAAATCTTTCCGAACTTTTTATATATATATATATATATATATATATATATATATATATATATATATATATATATATATATAAATATATATATATATATATATATATATATATATATATATGTATATATATATATATATATATATATATATATATATATATATATATATATATATATATATATATATATATAAGTAAAAAGTAATGGCATGTCTCGCAAAACAAAAAACCAAAAATGGTATATCGATGGAAGGAAACCGTATATACGTATTTCTGACTATTGGTCAGATAGACTTTTCTATATATATATATATATATATATATATATATATTATATATATATATATATATATATATATATATATTAAAAAGGTCGGGTCATAAGATGCACCCGTGTCTAATACCTCTTTATATAGAGCAAAGATGTTGCTCTGACGCTATGACCTACTAATGCCATCAAATGCCTTTTGATAGTCCTTGAATAACAATGAACATATTATCATTGGTGGAGAAACTACTTCATTCGAAATGGACTGTTTATTATGCTAGTTAAGATCTTTTTTTAAAGTATAAAATTACCAGACGTTCATTCCATCGAATATTTATTCTACAACTGCTTAACAGGATGGACTGTCATAACAATTGCTAATTATAATCGCATTTGGCGACGCAATTCTACATTAAATATGAAGTAAAAAT